AGCTTTTACTGCTATATTATGACTTCCCAGTTTTTGATACTAAATATTGACTTTCCAGGAAAAGAAGACAGGAATTTGAGGATTTATCTCTCATAAAACTCTCTCCCCACTCTTGCACTTTTTCTCCTGTCTTTTTCTGTCTATAACATATTTAACATTTGTCAACATGATGAATTTTATCATCATCATCACTATAAATAGTATTTAAAGCTAACCATTAAGTATATTGTGGTTACATTTTGTCTACAAGAGAACTTTTATTTCCTGTCATTATTTTCCTTTATACCTAGCGGTAACCTACCCACACACTCTCCAACAGAAGAGTAAATGCCATATGTGCATACATGATATGCAGTTATGTAATTGATGCAATAGTTTTGCAGACACCTGAGCCCTCTGTCCTCCTTGTGCAACCTAGAAGCCTTGCTCCTCATAGCTCCTGCACCATTACTGTGAGATATCACTGTAGCATTAGCACACCTTGTTCTGTGCTGAAAGCCTTGTGTTGTATGTCTTCCTCGTGGAGGACCATATTTTTTAGTAGTTTCCCAAGTAGGACTTGAGAAATAAATGATTTAAAATCTAAAAGCTCTTTGTCGTATTATTCCACTTGAATATTTTGGATATTATGAAGTTATAAGTTAGAAATAATGTCTCCTGAGAATTTTAAAAACATGTATCCATTTTTTCCTATCTTCCAGGTATACTGTTAAAAATTATTTCATTTTGATTTTATATATTTTTGAATGTCCTGTTTGCATCTCCCATCTTCCACTATGTTTTTTAGAATCTTCTCTTAATTACCAAATTTCTTAAATTTTAAAACACTTTTCCCTGACGGGATTGTTTTCTCATTATTATATTGAATGCTCAGCCATCAGTGAGATTCCTCAATCGAGAACTCAAGTCTGTTCTTTTGTATGTTTGGGACAGCTAAAATTTCAAACTATATTTGTGACTATTGTATTTATTTCTGAATTGTTTCTGAATACAGGAGTAGACAATGGGTCATAATTTTAATACCTATTGGCCCCATAAGGAAAAACAAAAATAGTTTAAGAGAGCTAGATAAAGTTCTTATATTACTCATTTTGTTATTTTTTCTAGATTTAACAGAGAAAGTGCACAAACAGAAATGCAGAGCGCAATGAGTTCTCACAATGTGAGCCTCCAGGAGAGGGTACGGTGTCTCAGCCAGCACTCCGGAGCCTGAACCTGGCACTACCTCCTGATCTTCTCTGTCCCCCTCTACACCCAGTGCAACCCTGACGTGTTACAGTCTACTTGCTTTTGCTGTGCATTGAACTTTATGCTAATAAAACCAGTCAAGGTATATTCTTTGATTTCTGCCTACTTTCACTCAACACTGTGTTTAAGACGTTTATCTAAATTCTACACATAATTCTACATAATTCATTTTCATTGTTGTTTAGTATTCTATTATGTGAATATGCCACAATTAATTTATCCTATCTGCTGTTGATGGCTACTGTTTCAGTCATGGCTCTTACAAGAAAAGCTTGTTCAAGATATTTGCTCATTTTTCTTAAGAGTTTTCTTATCTGCTTCTACGAGTTTAATTCAGTCCCTGGATTTCATTTCATCTTTTTGAAGCTTCACATTCTTTTAGTGTTTCTTTTGGTTTTGAAATACACATTTCTAATAATATGTTTACACTGACATTTCTTCTAAGAGATTTATTAAAGCTTTTAAGTTTTAGCTATTAGAGATTTTTCTAAATATGAAATATAGAGATTTACTATCCTGAAGCTCTCTCTTGCACATAAATACATTTAACACCCCACATTCCCATTCTGGCTTCCTCACTACATAGTCAGATCATGATTTTTAGTTAAATAAACTTACTGTGATTCCATTAGCAAGAGAATTTATAGTCACACTGAGAAATGCATATCAAATTTAATATTTGAAAACAAATTGCATACTATATATGTATGCTATAAACCTCTGGATATAACAGTAGATTCTCAAACATTGGATCATGCAATAACACTTTTGGAGTCCTGCTTTTTACATGTAATGTTGTATAATATAGAGATTCGTGGTATAAAATTAATCCTTCCTTTTAATGGATGTATAAGTTTTCATAATATAGAAATACCTTAATTTATCCAGTCATCTCTCACTGATGAGTATTCAGATGTTTCCATAGACACATGGAGTTTTTATTTCCTGGGTTTAGTTATTACAGATATGAACATTTGTGTACAAGTTTCTGTGTGATAATAAGTTCTTATATCTCTGAGCTAATTACTCAAAAGTTTATTTCCTAGATTGCATAGTAAGTTTATCTTCAGTTTGTTGCATCCCCTTAATAGAGTTTTTTGCAGAATGAAAGTTTTTAATCTTGATGAGATCCAAATCATTAGTTTTTCGTTATTTGATTTTTTTGAGGTTAACTTTAAAATTTAAAAAACTTAAATTTAATTTTTTTAAAATTAAAAAATTTAAATTATTAATTTTGCTTGCATTATTTTGTAAGATGTCTTTGATCATTACAATATTTTTCTTGTATTTTTGTATTGATTTTCTCCAATGTGTGATTTGTGCTCTACATTGATATTTTGTTAAAAAAAAATATAGTAAAAAAACTTTCTTTCTATCTGTACTCATAATTACTAATTCTGCTTTGATTTTGATTTTGCTTTAAATCTATACCTGTAGTTCTATGAACTCATTTTTCATATCTTTTTTCTGCTAATTATTTCATCTTTGAATCTGAATGTCATGTGTTTTTAAAGTGTCCTTTAAATTCACAATCTTTTTTGCAGAAAAAACTTTAATTTTATGGGAACACATCTGTTTCATGAGAATTATCTAATTTATTATTTACTTATATTCTTTCACGAAACGTATATCCTTTCTCCCATGGTATATTTAAATTTTTTCAGTATCATTTTATTTCAAAGTACTCATCTTTGATGTGGTGCTCTGTTAAAGTATTCTATTTACCAAAATATTTGGTAGTTGAATTCTACCGGATTTCTCCAAACAATCTGGGTGCATTTTAACATTACCTTCCCCCACCCCTACTAAGAATTGTGTATGAAGCCTGTGTGCTTGTCAGTTGTGTTTAGCGAACCCTTTTTTATCACTTGGTTGTTGGGATAAGAATAGAAGACAAAGCTTGGGGCTGTGGACAATTTAAGGTGGTAAAGTTTGTCTCTCTTTTCTTTTCTGGAGTCCTCTGAATGACCAGTCACCGAGATTGCCTAATAAAGAGTGCAGACTCTTTTCCCCAACCACCTGCCTTTTACCTCCCACCTCTACTGCTTTCCTTTTCCATCCAGAGCTGCAGGAGAAGGCAAAGCTCAGGCACTGTTCCTGCCCTGATCGTGGCATTGAAAAACTGAGGCATACCGTGGGAGTTTCTCAGCACCTTTCTCCTGGCATACCTGTTCCCCTGAAAACTTTTATCTTTCTCTCCATTCTACAAATGGAAGCTGAGTCTGTTTTCCGGAGATATGTACTAGACACCTGCAAGGTTAAAGTTTGGAAACTTCTTGCAATTGCTCTCTGTTTTTATGGTAAAGAATACACAAACTCCATTATTCACATTCCCTTCTAGGGTAATGGAACCTGGTAAGCAGAAGTTAATTATTAAGGAAAAACAAGAGGGTCATGTTACTTGCCATTCAAACTCACTATACTAATCTAATTTTTCATTCTTCATCACTTCTGCCCTAATGTGTACCTATAATTCTCAGGTTTTTATTTTCAAATTTCCTGTGTAGTTTTTTTTAAAAGTAGATTTATAGTATAGAAAGAAAATCATTTTAGCTTTATCGAGTTTCTTTAGGAACCCACTAATTCACTTTAGTCAACATAAACTAAAATAAAAATTTTAAAACATGAAAACTATTCCCAGAAGGATAAGAAATTATATTTCAGAAGAACTAATATATGTGTTCATATCAATGAAAAATACAGCTGAATAATCAGGTGACAGTGTGCAGTGAAAGCAATACAAAAGAGGTGCCTCTCTGACCTTGGACCCCATTACAAGTCACAGACTAGGGTCGTGGCTGTAGAGCTCAAAGAGGGGCAATGCTTGGTGTTGTGTTTCCCTTATTTTCCGTGTTTCCTGTAGCCTTGTGTTGACCTCCATGCGTTTGAAGAAGCAGCCACATGTTCCAGACATTACAGACTAGCTTTCATGGGCAGGAGGATACCGTGTGGGAGGGGGTCATTGGGACACTATCTTACTGTAGAAGAACATGGAGTTCCTTAGCACTGCATCTAATGAGGAGAAAGATGGAGAAAGTGGAAGTCAGGGACCAGTCATTCTCAGTGAGATGACTCCTCTGCCTGTGCGGGCTTCAGGTGGACATAGCAATGATTTTCAGGACCGAGCAGATGGACAGACCCTATCTCATGCACACTGAGGAAAGGACGTTGAGTAGTTTAGGTTGCACATCTTCATCTGCTTTCTATGCTTGCTTCCCTCATTCTTTCCAGCTCCTGAAGACATTTACAGACATGGCTTAAAGGCTATTTACTCAGTGGAGTCAACTTCATTTCCCCATCTGAACCAGGCACACCTATTTCCCTTTTTCATAAAATCCACCTGCATTCTCTTCCTGATGATGATCACAACTTAAAATGCATCATTATTTGTAATAATATAAAATTTTGATTTTAAGAGATCAAAAATATTCCTGAAATATCTTATATACTAATGGTAGGGCAGCCACAGTAGACTCCCCTACATGGCGTCTTAGACAGACTAGAAGGTGAAAAAATAATGAAGAAGTCACAAAACCCCTTGGGATGTGCTTGAGCTTCCTTGGGAAATCTTTTGCTAACCCCAACTCCCACTGGGTGAAATAAGAGCAGGTGTTCTCTTTGAGTGCCGACTTAAACTGTTTTGAGCTTATTTGCATGATGAGTTATTAGACAATGACCCAGGCTCCTCAACACATCTTTAAAGGGAGCTTGTCAGGGACCCTGAGGAGCAGCCTCCAGCTCAGCTCTCAGTTATGGTGTCAGGGGCTCCCCTGCTGTGGATCCTGCTGCTCAGGGTTCCAGGTGAGGGGGCTGCAGAGAGACGTTGTGCAAACCCATTGTGGCCATCATTGCTTCCTGTGTCTCTGGGTTCTTGGTCACTGGAATTAAGGCTTTTGTTGTAGCTCTCAAATGGCCCAGCTATCTTTTGTTTTCTGGTTAGTCAGAGTGTTGCCCGTGACTATGCTGATAAGTGTCACCAGTTCACTGGGCCTACATGGGGATGGTCTCAGTATATCTGTCAGTTTTTTATGTGGTTATCATTACAGGCTCCACTGGGGACATTGTGCTGCCACAGTCTCCAGCCTCCTTGGCTGTATCTCCAGGAGAAAGGGCCACTATTCCCTTCAGGGCCAGCCAGAGTGTCAGTGACAAATCGCTTCCCATCAGTTTTGTGAAATGGTATCAGCAGAAACCATGAAATGGTATCAGCAGAAACCAGAATGGTATCAGCAGAAACCAGGACAACCCCCTAAATTCCTGATCTGTGGAACATCCATTCGAGATTCTGGGGTCCCAGCCAGTTTCAGTGGCAGTGGGTCTGGGACTGACTTCACCCTCACAATTCACCGAGTAGAGGCCGATGCTGCTGCAAACTATTACTGTCAGCAGAATAAGGAGCTTCCTCCCACAGTCCTCTAGGTCTAAGCAAAAACCTCCCCACAGCTGCTCACTGTGGCTCAGCTCCCTCCGAAGTGATCCTCATCCTGGTACCCCAACCTAGTCTCTCTAGGCTCGTTTGGACAATGGGGTCAAATTCTTAAACTGACGTGTGTGTGTGCGTGTGTGTGTGTGTGTGTGTGTGTG